TTTTCTATGAATTAGCTTGTAAATTATACATTTTAACATAAAAAAAAATATATGAATTGATTGTTTGAGATGGCAACAACTAAGCTTTTAAAAAAAAAAAAGGTTTTCTAGAAAAAGTCATGGTATATTTTGCAGCTCTAAACAACTTTTATTTGGTCGTACTCTGGGCAAAACAGCTCTTTGGATATGAAAGGTTGCAGACCCCTGAGCTAGTGCTTCTAGACTTCACTGAGTTGGGGGGGGGGGACGACTCCATTTGTAAGGGGGATGCGAGGGATCAAAAACAGTAACTTGTCTTATAAAGGGTTAAATACAGTAATAAGCGACTATTAAATGAGTGATAAATGTTTTATCTTTAAGCTGTACTGAATTAGACTCAGTATCTGAAGCACTGAATTGTAAATATTAAACTATAAAAATATTAAACTGGAATATGACTACAAACTACTACATTAAACAATTACCGTATTTTCTGGACTATAAGCCCATGCTTTTTCCCCACGCTTTGAACCGTGCAGCTTAGAAGAAGGTGAAGCGTTTTCAGTGGACTTTTCCAAACCACCCGGGCGGGGGGGAGATTCAAAGTCCGAAAGGAAAGACTAAGGGGTTCATTTTCATTTAGCACAACAACATGCTAGCAGCAGGAACGACAGAGAAAAATGTCAGAATTCCCACATTTGCCATTTATTTGCCTCATTAAAGCAGCAGAACCTGCTATTTTTATTAGTCATTGATTCTTGATATATGAAATAAAACATTATGACCAATGAGAATTAGATTAGAGAGATCTGAAATTAATTTTAGACACCCAGAATGGTTTTTATAGAGAGGAGTATTGTCATTTCTGTTATCGGCCCAATACACATGAATGTGGAAAAGTGCAGAATTACATTCCGGATATCTGAAATGTTCATTGTAGACAGGAGGAATACTATTATAGATATAATCAAGCAAATATGTTGAAACGGCCACTTAAACTAGAGATTTAGAGATAAATTTAGTTCTTACTAGTACAAATTTGATTCCAGAGTATTTAAAATTTTATTTCTACTGGTGGAAATGTAATTAGTGATATCTATAATACAGTTCTGATGAGGAATATTGTAATTCTAGTGCGTAATAATTAAAAAAAAATTCCGGAAGTTGAAAGGACCGCGGCAACCAGCGGACCTCCTAGAGTAACGGCAGCCAGGGCTAAGTCCTTAGCGTTGCCGTGGCTGCTGCAGACGCGCTAACGTTAGCAGCCCTCCCTTGGCACAGCCGTCTGTGAAAGACCGCTGGCTCTGATGGCGATATTTTTGTTTTATTTGGCAAAATGTTCATTTGATTTGTGTTTATCTGACTGTGCTCATTATCATTCCTCCACTAAATGAAAAAAGTTAGAATTTATAATTATCTAGAGACTATTAATAACAGGAGATGAAATGCAGCTCCAGACTAGCTGAGTGTGGTGATGTCATCAGTACGCTACTGGTCCAGTTGACCCAGATTTCTCCTGTTCTCCCAGAGTCCGAACTTTCCTGAGTTCTTCTCAACAACATACTTGGTGAGAACAAGAGTCTGTACTCGCGTTCTCGTGAATTAAAAAAAACAGCATACGTCTCTGAAAGGAGGGTTGTTAAAGGGGATTGTTTTTCTAGCTTGGGTTGCGATGATATCGGAAAAGGATCTGCTGCTGATTTGATTTTTCTTCTCTTTGAATGATTCCTGGAGGATTGAAAGGTTGGAACCACTTCCAACCGATTATCACTCCTCGATGCTCCGTTCTAAACATGGCGTGTTTAGGGCGTTTTAACTGTTAGCAGCCATTTAGCTAAAATAACCCAAGCAGAGCTGAATAAACTGCAGACGTATGCAAAACATCAATGCTGGAAGGAAACATTTCTATTTTCCCATCCACTATTTAAATACCTTTTTCCTAAAATCTATGTTTTAATTTTGGAATTAAAGGATTTTCTTGTAGTTTTATATTTGCAGGCCCTAATATTTCTTTGGTCTTCTATATCTAAGGACTAAATCTATATTATTTTCTGCCTAGGGCTTAAAGTGAATAAACCCACCTTGGTATGCTCCGAGCGCTGGGCACTGTCACTGGGATGCAGAGCCTGCAGACCACACATGTCGCACACGTCACCATGGAGATACGCACAGTTGACTCCATAGCGACACTCTCCGACAGCGGCGTACGGACACAGCTGCTTCCGCAGGTCTTTGCCGTCGGGGCCGGCGTTGCTGTCGAGTTCCTCGATGAGAGGGGTGGAGCTTTCCACCTTCACCGGCTCAGCTGCTCACAAAGCACAGCCACAGACGAACCATGAGTCATTGCTGCTCACCAACGACATCGACAACGTAAAGCAATATTTATTCAGAAATCTGTTTTATTATACACACCAATCATTAACAATATCAAAGGAACTAAACTAGGGGGAAAAAAACAATTGCATAGAATCCCAGATTATATTACTAACTGTAGTTCTGCAATCCACCAGTAGGTGGCGACATGTTCACATGAAGCTTCATGAACTGTAGGCATCGTTGAAGCAATTAGCCCAAACGTTCATTAATGAAAATGCCTGGGACTTTGCCAGATGCAGGCTGTGGGCCACCAGCTACATTCAGGTCAAAGGTCACTAGAGAAACAGAAGTAGGCTGGTGCTCTGAGGGAAATCTAGCATCTCAGCCATGGAGGCCGTAGAGTTTGCAGGAACAGTGGAAACAAACAGAATCCAAACTGCTCCAGGTTCGTAACATTAGGAAAATAAAGTTACAATATTATGAGAAATAAGTCGTAATATTACAAGAATAGAGTCGGGAATTTACTAGAATAAAGTTGTTTTTATGACAACTCTTACCAGAAGCTGTCTTTCCTAAAATGAGGAAAGAAGAGCATCTTGTGAAGTTGTGAATATCAAGTCTTTTAGGATTAAATAATTATCACAACATTGAAACAATTGTGCAAACGACTATGTCTGTGTGGAAGAAAACAGCTTTCTTTCTGAAATGGGTTGTAGTCTGATGACTTCATTCTCCTAATTCTTCTGCTTTATTTTTGTATTTAAAAAAAATAAAACTGTCTAGCCTGGCCCTAATACTCCATAATAGAGCTAGACTGCATTGCTTCATAAAAAATGACAGAATCAATTGGAGCTTATTTCATTTCATTATGATTGCTTCTTTGCTTCTTCTTCTTTCTTTGGTTATAAACTCTCTGAATAAATTTACCCCAAAAACCCACATCCTCCGTTCCCGCCCCGCCGCGCTCCAGACCGTCTGCCCAAAGCAAAGCCTACATCCTCTGCTGCTCCTCCAGTCCTACTCCGCTCCGACTTCCTCGGAGCTCCAGGAGAGCATGCGCTATATTATTATTATTAAATTCATAGAAGCAAAACGTGGAAATTAACGCTTAATTTAATTTGACGTTAAAAATAAAATCCTCATCAGCATCCAGCAGAAGTTCAGTTTCTGCCCAAATATTTTCTTTGAGTTGTAGAGCTTTAATATAGGAATAACTAGGATCATCCACGGTTTGGATGAACTCTGCTCTCCATCTCCAAACTCAGCATCTCTTCATCCATTCCTCAGATAAGAAGTTTGTTTTGACTGGTATGAGTAAACTTCTAAGGCTCTCCGTATAAAATAAATATTTTGATGGAGATGAGGAATCAGCTTCCTGGTCTGTTGAAGAACCAATAGTTTGCATCCAATCATAAACAGTCTTAGTTTTGGGGAATATAGAAGAATTATTCTCTAATTTCTAGTTACTGATCCATCGTTACCATATTTTGATGTGACAAACAGGATCTTCTCAATGTTCTTTTTCCTGTTTGGTTTCGATTGCAGTTGTGGATCTTGACCTGGCCGGACTGGAGTGGAGCTAAAAATAGGTGAGGGGCGGAGAAGACGTATGTGGACGGTGGCATGGGGAGGAGTAGCGGAGGATATGGAACAGTTCTCATTGATTAACACGACCAACAGGTATGCCGCACGACGTACGTGAGCGGAGGATGTGGAATCTGGAGGTTACTTTTCTTCTTAAGACATTTGTAGTGAATGGATGATAACCCATATTAAATAAGCATTAAATACTCTACAGGCACATTCTTTCCAGTAGGCCCACATTTATTCATATAAAAAGGAAAAACAATTATGAGTCTAATAAAACATTCAAATAAGAAAAACAGGTAAAAAAATACAACTTATGTAAATAGGAATTTATCCTTAACTTTCACAGTTTCAGGTCAAAGCTTGTTGACTTTTGCCCCTTTTCCTGCCTGCCTGCTTTTAAACATAGGACATGCGTGCGATCACATGGTCGATCACCAGGGGACGCCATAAGGAACGTATCCTGAGAGTTGGAGGGTTACCTCGACCGCAGTAAGGCTGCCCTGGAACGAACTCAGCAGCCATGACCCAGTCCTGAGCCCCTGATGCAGGCGATACGGACGAGGCTTCAGGGTCGGAGGGGTGGGCCTGCGGGCCGGAGGCAGAGGCTGGCGGCAGCGTCTGGGTAGTGGGCAGCTCCTCCTTCTTTACGGGTTTGCTGTGCTCAAACCTGAATGAGCAGAAAAGAAAGAAAAACGGAAAATGGTCATCTAGTGATAAAACTAGATACCACCCCCAGTGGGGCCCCAGTGTAACTGCAGGCAGATCTGATTAATTAATTGAACAAATGACCCAGTGTGACAGGTATATTTAAAATAATTGATAGAAATATAAAAAATAGGTTTAGTTAAACTTAAAATACAGCTTATAGTTGACTCCAGTAGAGATGTGATTCTTAAGATACTGGTGCGATTGACTTTGTCCGAGTGGAGTTGCCATATGATGACGTCATTAGAATGGGTGGGGCCCTGAGCAGTTCTGGTACCTACATCGGCAGTCTGATGTTTGCTAATTATTCCAGTAGCACAGATTCCTCTGTGCTGTGTTGATAAGGCAGTTCAATGGTTAATAAACAGACATCATCCTGTTTACATGGATCTGATGTTTGGATTTTTCCAGTCAGGGATGTAGCGCTAAGTATCTGAGCTCTCTGTTGCTATGGATGCAAACACCGTGTAATACTCACCAATAATAAACACACAGCTTTCAAATATCAGCTGAAAAACAGTTGATTCCTTTCTAATTTCCATCTCTAATCCATACCATCATAATTTCAGAGCAACCACCTGCTTATTTTACATAATTACGGAAATACAGAAATTGTTTCCAAACAGCATATTAGGCGGGGATTAGAGCTAGCTTGAAATTAAAATAGCAATTTGCTTTTTAACCAATATTTTGATTTTATTTGCAGCTAGCCCATAGATCTTACTTTAAGTGTATTCCTGCCACCTACAGGACAGGAGTGAGCGAGTCTGTGTCTTAATCTTGTTTGTAAAAAATAATACATAGTTGAACTTTATTGATCTCACAATGGAGAAATTCTCTCTCTGCACTTAAACCCATCCCCCTTG